AAAAGGCCTTCTTGCCTGGCGAGAAGACAATGAGGCCGAGCTCTGTACCACATAGGGTACTGAGCTCGCTGGCCTTTTTGAAAAGGCCTGCCCTTCTCTTGGAGAATGTGACTTGGAGATTGGTCTCATTCTCCATTTTCACCATCTGCAATTTTTGGCGCCCCCTACATATCCTTGGCATGGCTAACCCTTGGTTTGTTGTGTATGTCCGGTGGGATAAAAGGGGGTATTTATTGACGCTTTTGTACATAGCAATTTAGGGTTTAGATGGTTTTTCTGACCTAGATAATTATCAATCTTTGCTGTCATTGTTCTTTTCTAATTTGTATATGTAGTTACTGAGATACTAGTTTGGGAGAAATTTAAATCCTTTTGTTCTTAGCACACATGGTAGGCACTTCATGAATTTTTATACACTAAATACCATTCTAAACTATTACACTCATTTCTTACTCACCAGTCACAACACATGCATGCATGAGGAAAAGTGCCAGACAATTGCTAGGTTGCCTATAATCTTATCCTCCTCCACTTCATTTGGCTTTGTTCGGAGTTGCCAAAGAAATAAATTTTGATAAAATATGACAACACATATTAAATCTAGAAATTTAATGTTAAGATAAGAGCATCTACAATAATACTACCGTAGCACTAGCTGGCATTACTGATTGGTACTACGGTCCAACAAGATTCAGCTTTTTGGTGGTGAGATACTCAACCAATCCATTCTGCCTCCCACATCACCGCCCGAAGCCTTTGCCTTTTTTTTGTTGTTGGTGAAATAGAGGGGTAAAACCCATGTTTTGAACGGTATTCCCACCCATTGCCATGGCAACCAAAGGGCAATCACTATTCACATGAGATATGAGGAGATGAATTTGTATGGATTTTGGTGTGGGAAGTGAAGAACATGGCTAGGTATTTATAGAAGGGAGGAAGATATTGATTTATTGTAATGCTATAGAAGGGAGGAAGGGAGGAAGTGAAGAACATGTTTTATATTTTCCACCAACCTATCATTTTTTTTCTTTGTTTTGGTTATACTATAGAAGGGAGGAAGATATTGATTTATTGTAATGCTATGTTTGATCACATTTTCTCTTCACTTGAGTTAACTCCTAGAGTGCCTATATAGTAATCCTATCCTCCTCCTGAATATGTCTTTGGTTGGAGTTGCCAAAGAAAGAAATTTATATTAAATATGACAACACAGATTAAATCTGAAATTCAAAGTGTTAGGTGAGGAGATAACAAATAACTAATCATAATGGGCTTGGCTATTTACTTAATTAAAGGTTAACGTAGGAACTTGTTTTGTTGAATACTTGCCCGACATCGGAAACTTAAAAAGATTTTACTTTAGTTTATAAGGAGCTGGGTTACTCTCCCCTCCTCCTCCAAAAAAATACCAATTAATTTTAGAGTAGAACCTCAACTTCCTTCATGGTATCGGAGCTCGAACAAAAGACATTTTGAATTTGACTACCGAAGATGAAAGATTTAATATCACTTTATAAGCTATTACGAAGTTGGCGTTGTTGTCATTCTCTACTTAATTATCTCTTACCATGTCTCTTATAAGGAAATCATATCATATCTCATCGTGAAATAAAACATACTTACAACATGGCATATTTGATATAAGTATTGACTATATATAATTTCCTTTTAATAAAATGCGCGTATCAATTATCCATGCACGTACGTTGTTACTTAGGGTTTTGCGAGCTCTCTTAGTAGCGACTTTATTTTTCGTATTTTTTTTCTATTGAGTGAGAGGATTTAGGGAGGTGGAGCAGAAAGAGCACAACAATCCACATATAAAGCAAAATGTAGCAAAATGCTTTTCTAGTTAAAATTTGAAAAATAAAAAACCAAAATTTGCCCCATTTAAGAAAAAATTTCAAAACACACCACTCCATTGATGGGACAAATACGTCCAACAATAATCCTTAAAATGCAAATAATTATAAAATAAAATAAAAGGGATATAAGCGTGCAAGACAAATATTTTCCAACGAGTTATAGTTTTTCATTTATTTTTTTGGTTTACGAAAAATAAATAAATAAACTACTTTTGAGTTCCACCCATGTATATGTTGTTTCTCCTCTACATGGTGTCTCTCATAATTGTTTCTTCCTAAAGTATGGTTAAGACTAATTTACCTCTTCACTTTCATCCCCTCAATATTACTTGTATTATTAAATACTAGTTTTTCGAACAAAATTTTTACTTTTTTCTTTATTAGTTTTCACCGTTTGTTGTAAAGTGTAATGAGAAGTGTAGTTTTCAACTCTCAAATAATTATATGCTTCTTTTCATTTTAAGGATTTAGCATTAGGCCTCAATCGATCGTGAGTACATAGTCATACTTTCACTACTAGAAAACTTCAATATAAGTCATTGATACACCCATGACTTGTATTAATGTTAGTTACAAACTATTCGTGGGTGTTGGCCACATATTGAACACAGATCACGTGACTGTGGTCGAAGTAGGTGTTGTCATTAAATTCTGCCACGACAAAAAGTGTATGTGGCGTATAAATAACTAATTGTGGCTTATATATTACAAGCCACTGATGCACGGTAACCGTGACCATTACACACTAATGGCCACTATTGATTCACTGTGGCTAGGCAAACCGTGGCCTTAGCCACTTTCTAGTAGTGTTTTCATAGAGTGCTAGTATTTCTTTCATTTTTTGCATCAAACGGAGAGCTAGCTATAGCATTTGAATACTCCTACATAAAAACAAAAAAAATGAATAAAAATTCATTACTGTACATTCTGATGAGCATTAATTTGCTAATTCAACAGTATATGTGTCAATTAGTACAAGGCCAACATAAGCGATAGTTCTTAGAACCACATTTCACATAACCGAAAACGAATGGTCAAAATGATATTAGATAAAAGGCATAATTTGTCAACCTGATCTGATATCGATCTATACACCAAACACAATGCTAGTATATATAAATAAATAAAACACATAATTAAAGCACATAATTTTATTTTATTTTCAATTTTGATGAGCCAAACGGCTTCTGATAGTTCATGACAATCTGAAATTTTAAAAAAAAACATAAGGACAACACAGAACAAACAAAGACAAACTTAATACTGCAGAGCACAGATCACAACACTAGATCGATCACTCTGTTTTCTCTGTGGCTGCCAGTGCTGGCTTATTATTAATTAAATAAAATCATCATCACCCCCATCACAAGTTTTTCAGAAAAAGCCTCCACCCAGGTTAGGGTTCCATCCATTGAGAGGCATGGCATTAGGATTGCCATTGAACCCAACGTTGTTAGGTTGATGAGGAACCTGCATCACATGATCATTTCCATTAAAATTAAACCCAACATTGTTAATATCAGGATTAACCAAACCTTGAAGGCCAGAGGGCCCAGCAGCAGCACGGGAAGAGCTCCCCACAAAAAAATTATTGTGAGCAGGGTTTGCATTTTGGGCAGCAGCACTAGAAGAGGAGCTCCCCACAAAAAAATTAGGGTTGTGTGCAAGGTTTGTACTTTGGGCAGCAGAAAGTCTCAATTTAGCCTCATCAGCCACTTTCGACTTCAACTCCAGAAGAGAAGCCTTCAAAGTCTCCAGCTGATCCAATTCCATCTCCTCCACTGGTCCCTGCCACCACTTCCCCTCTTGGTTGGCCTTCATGGACTGGGTCAGCGCATCCCCCCACTTTCTTTCGTCCTCGAGGACCTCTAGCACCCGTGTGAGCTCATCAGTGATCTCACACAGGCCTGCATTCCGGTACCCGTCAATAATCTTCTGCGTTTCGGAATTCAAGATCTGACGCGGGACTGTGCCCTCGAACCTGTCCAACAATGTCTCAATGCTCGGGTGGCCAAAGCAAAAGACCTTCTTGCCCGGTGAGAAGACAATGATTGCGATCTCTGCACCACACAGGGTGCAGAGCTCGCTGGCCTTTTTGAAAAGGCCTGACCTTCTCTTGGAGAAGGTGACTTGGAGATGGCTCTCATTCTCCATTTTCACCATCTCAACCTTTTGGCGACCCCTAGTCTTCTTCACCATGGCTAACACCAAATGGTTTGTTGTGTGTGTTAGGTGGGATTACAGGGGGTATTTATTGAGGTTTGTGCACTTAGCATTTTAGGGTTTAGAGGTTTTCCTGAGCTAGATATCTCTTTGTTGTCATTGTTTTTACTTCATTTGTATGTTGTCACTAAGATACTAAATCTGAATCTTTTTTTCTTCTTAATTAGCATACATGGTAGGCATTTCATGAATTTTTATACACTAAATACCATTCTAAACCAGTTGCACTCATTTCTTACTCACCAGGCACACACATGCATGCATTAGGAAAAAGTGACAGACAATTTGGTGTTATATTCTTGGCTGGGATAAATATGCCTTTGTTGGAGTTCCCAAATAAAGAAATTTTGATAAAACATGACAAAAAAGAGATTAAATCTGGAAATTTAAAGCGTTAGGTAAGGAGAACAAATTGTTAATCACATATAATAGACTTGTTAAAAGGCTATTTAACTAATTAAAGGGTATGAATACAATTGGAAACATTTTTTTCTTTTGCGGCGCCGCCTTGATAACCTTCGAACAACATTTTATTGAGTACCTGAATAGTATATTGCAAACGTGAGTTAAACCAGTTGGTTAGGCAGTGAATCCGGCTCCTTGCACCCAAATTCAAATCTCCGTTTTTTTTATAAGAGCAGTTTAAATTAAAGATATGAATAATGGACTTAATTCAAAGATATGTCGTCTGGTCCATGACCAACAGCCCAACCTTCTACTAAGTGTAGGCCTGTGATTTGATTAAAATCTTGGGCCATGTAAGCTAATTATCTGATCCAATTTTGTATAGAAACCCCAAAAAAAAAAATTCAAATCCAAAATTCAAATAAATATTTGTCCCGTTGGCAAACAAAGTAGCGTTTTGGCTAGGCTATAGCGCCTTTTCGTGCGACGTGTTTGAAGGTTGAAACCAAACCCAAACATGCATATACATATTATGAGACGGTTTTCCGCTGTACTCTATTTCTACTTTCGGAATTTTCTTTCCCCTTCAATCTCTCTTCAGGTAAATTTCCAGGTCTTCTTCTTGTTTTCAATTTGGTTCTTTCTTTTTTTTCACCAATTTATTTCTGAACTCACCTTGAACTTTTTTATTTTCATGGTTTTCAGGTTATTTGAATTTCTGGGCTAATCAAAATCATGCTGGGATCTTTTCTTCCAAGGGTTCTTCTGTACGTAATCAAATGAATCCAATTGGGTTTTTTGACCCAACCCAACCCAACCCAAGTGGTGTTAGTTTTCATGAAAGTAATTATTTGGGTAATTAAATTTTTTATTTACTGCAGGATGGTGTTTGGTTATGCTTATCCGGCTTATGAGTGCTATAAGACTGTGGAGAAGAATAAGCCAGAGATTGAGCAACTTCTGTTTTGGTGCCAATACTGGTATATACATATATGATATATCTATCATGTTATTAATTATGATTCTTTTAACTTTAATTTCCAATTATAATTAATTAATTACTTTTGATGTGGGTTTTGTAGGATATTAGTTGCTATGCTTACTGTGTTGGAGAGATTTGGGGATGCTTTATTTTCATGGTAAACAATTTGCTTCCATAACATTTTATTGAAGCCTTTTTGTTACAATGTATCATATTTGCAAATCAAGGAGATGCGACTCATTTGTATGGGAGAATTCCATGTCAAGTGTCCATTATTGACTTATTCTGTGATAGCTTAAGCTTTTGTCGATTAGTAATTATCTAATATCATGTGGCAGAGCGTTACATATTTGTGTCATATGGTTTTTAACGTCACTTATTGTTCACTTGTGTTTTTTTGAAGGGTACCAATATACAATGAAGCCAAATTGGCGTTGTTTATATATCTCTGGTCTTCTAAGGAGAAAGTAAGCACTCATCATCTCCTATGCTTATAGAATCATGCTTTTATTCTGTCCTTAATAATAGTGAATACTCATGTGAATGTCTTAATTAACTTTTCAGGGCACGGCCTATCTTTATAATCGCTTCTTCCGAGACTTTGTGGCACAACATGAGGCAGAAATTGATAGTAAGATATTGGAATTCAGAGTTAAGACTAGGGATTTTGCAAACCTATCTTGTCAAAAGGCTCTAAATTATGGCCAAAAAGGTGTTTATGAGATTTTGGAGTATGTTTCTTCTCATCAGTCGGCGCCACAGCCTCATTCTGATCAGGTACATTCAAACAATAATCAACCTGATCAATAGTCGAAATAAGATAACGAAATCTCTCTATATTAAAATAAATTAAGCAGCCCCCTGTGGTTTCTGTGCAGAAGCAAGAGAAGGGCACTGGAAAAGTAATTGCTGCTGGTCAGTCTGAAGCTGTGGCAAGGGACCAAAGAACAACAAGCGACTTTGAAGAGAAACCAACTGAATCAGTACCATTGTCTGAAAATGGAACCCCAATTCTTCCCAGCAGAAAACACTGGTTAAAGAAGCTCATCAGATGATGCGTCGCATACTGCACCAAATTATATTAATGTGATTTACCAATTTTCAGCCTTTACAAAATACAATTTTATGTCTTGTTAGTCTTAATTACTTCCTATGTACCTCATGAAAACTAATCAAGACTTAACCATACCCATTCTATGTACCACATCAATACACACATAGGTAACATTGATCCTATTTTTTCGATTTCAAAACCGAAACCCCTTCGAGTCATACAAAAGGAGTGTTGGGTTAAGTAAGACTTGAACTACCTAAATATCTTAATCACATAATAAATCACTAACTCTTTAGTCACCGGCCAAGTGTCCATTATTGACTTATTCTGTGATAGCTTAAGCTTTTGTCGATTAGTAATTATCTAATATCATGTGGCAGAGCGTTATATATTTGTGTCATATGGTTTTTAATGTCACTTATTGTTCCCTTGTGTTTTTTTGAAGGGTACCAATATACAATGAAGCCAAATTGGCGTTGTTTATATATCTCTGGTCTTCTAAGGAGAAAGTAAGCACTCATCATCTCCTATGCTTATAGAATCATGCTTTTATTCTGTCCTTAATAATAGTGAATACTCATGTGAATGTCTTAATTAACTTTTCAGGGCACGGCCTATCTTTATAATCGCTTCTTCCGAGACTTTGTGGCACAACATGAGGCAGAAATTGATAGTAAGATATTGGAATTCAGAGTTAAGACTAGGGATTTTGCAAACCTATCTTGTCAAAAGGCTCTAAATTATGGCCAAAAAGGTGTTTATGAGATTTTGGAGTATGTTTATTCTCATCAGTCGGCGCCACAGCCTCATTCTGATCAGGTACATTCAAACAATAATCAACCTGATCAATAGTCGAAATAACATAACGAAATCTCTCTATATTAAAATAAATTAAGCAGCCCCCTGTGGTTTCTGTGCAGAAGCAAGAGAAGGGCACTGGAAAAGTAATTGCTGCTGGTCAGTCTGAAGCTGTGGCAAGGGACCAAAGAACAACAAGCGACTTTGAAGAGAAACCAACTGAATCAGTACCATTGTCTGAAAATGGAACCCCAATTCTTCCCAGCAGAAACCACTGGTTAAAGAAGCTCATCAGATGATGCGTCGCATACTGCACCAAATTATATTAATGTGATTTACCAATTTTCAGCCTTTACAAAATACAATTTTATGTCTTGTTAGTCTTAATTACTTCCTATGTACCTCATGAAAACTAATCAAGACTTAACCATACCCATTCTATGTACCACATCAATACACACATAGGTAACATTGATCCTATTTTTTCGATTTCAAAACCGAAACCCCTTCGAGTCATACAAAAGGAGTGTTGGGTTAAGTAAGACTTGAACTACCTAAATATCTTAATCACATAATAAATCACTAACTCTTTAGTCACCGGCCTAAGAAATTACTAGGTTCAGTCACTTTTATGAAAATGACGTATGGTATCAATTCTTAATTATTATGACTCGATACATCACATGTTTATGAGCGAAATGACACCTGTCACCCGTATGACACACGCTCATAAAGTTAACCACATGTTCGAGGAACATATCGTTCTTTCAATCCAATATTTCCACAATTGCTGCGGTCATCTTAACCTGTTCAATCCAATATTCCCTGCGACCAAAAAAACCCCAATTTTATTGACCCAAAAAAGTTTTCCAATATCCCCGCCAACATAGAACGGCACGTCGTTTGTCTCTGTTAAAATACCTCATACGACAATATCCCAACAACCTCGTGAATTCGACAATTCAATGAATTCACCTCGTTTTCAGCAATGAGCTACCCGGCGGACTCGTCCTTAGCCTATCTAATTACACCACGTGGCAAGTATACGTATAGGACACGTATCTAATCAAATTAGCTGGCAGGCTCACAAGTCGCACGGATACGGGCCGACCATCTCACTCCTACGGGGCTATCTCGTCCGCCATCCCTTTGTTGGCTTTTTGGTTGAGTCTCCCTAACCGCCCCACGTGTCCAAGCCACAGTTATCTACATTTGTGACCACAAACCACCCTATCTATCTTTCTTTTAGGTCCTTTCTTTGCTTCTGTTTCATAAATTCATACTTACTTTATTAAATTTAATTTATTTTCTCCTTTTTCTTTTTCAATTTTTTTTTTGGTTTGCTTTTTTGGTCAACAAAGAATAGTGAAATGCACCGCCCAAAAAAAAAAAAGAAGTTGGATAGAAAGCGGAAAACGTGGGAGAGAGTAAATAGGGGAGGAATAGTATTTTGTGCCGACAGACATTTGGAGATTAATATACTTTGTTAATTGTATTGTGATCATTCGTTTGTTGGAATAAGTACTCCAATAATGAGATATCATCCAATTGTATAGCACTACAAAAAAAGAGTTTAAATACTGCGAGGGCATCCACAATGTCGCCATGCTTTCCTTTGAAAGTATTTTTTTATATTATACGAAGTTATTGGTGTAGTGGCTCGATACAAGGCAAGGCATGATGTGTAAGTCTTATATCGGATAATACAATAATAATTTATAATTCAAATATAGGTAGTTCACTTCTAATTACACCGAGACCTTTTAAGTTCAAATCTCACACCTAGGGCTCGATTTAGCCTAAACCTACCAAAGGTTAAAATCTCACTCCTAATTACAACAGACTGATCATGTTTCTAAAAATATTAAGTTATATTATACATTATACGTGGAGTATTCTAACATTTATCTTTGTAGCTTAATCTTTGTGCTGGACTAGCCCATGTCTCAATATCACTTGTATTCTTTTTATATAAAGAAAAACTACAATCAAATTACTCTATTCTTTTTTTGTTTTTAGCTCCTTGAATTAACTAAGGAAAAAGAGATAAGCTCTTACATCATGTGTTTTGACTTCTTTCAAAGCAAAAAGTAAACAAAACTAGTTTTCTTAAGTTTTGGTCGGAAAAGTAAAAGATTAACTGGTTATAAAATTTTATTATCCTTCCTCTCATTTTTTAGGAAGAAAAAAAAAATTAAAAAACTTTGCGTCTTGAAAACGAAAGCTAGACCAAACAAACATGGCTAATAACTAGCTTCTAAGCTAAAAACCCCGTACAATTTCCACAACACACACACACACACTCTCTCTCTAGTTTTGGTCGGAAAAGTAAAAGATTAACTGGTTATAAAATTTTATTATCCTTCCTCTCATTTTTTAGGAAGAAAAAAAAAAATTAAAAAACTTTGCGTCTTGAAAACGAAAGCTAGACCAAACAAACATGGCTAATAACTAGCTTTTAAGCTAAAAACCCCGTACAATTTCCACAACACACACACACACACTCTCTCTCTCGTATTTAAGCCTCTGCCTGCAGAGCCAGAAAGAAAGAAAAAAAGAAAATAAAAAAAGAGAGAGGCTAAAGCAGAGAGAAAGAAGAAGCTGTTTGTTTTCCCACCTTTTAGCTCGTGTGACTCACGAGACTCACAAAAAGAAGAGCAGAGGCAAAGAAAGAGGGGAAGGGGGTAGGAGGAAGAAGAAGAAGAAGAAGGGTCACAAGAAAGAAAGAGAAGGCAATAAATAAAAAGGAAGAAATAATGGAGGAGAGCCCAAAGAAGAAAAGTGGAGGGGGGCAGGTGCTGGACGGTTCGAATATAATAGAGTTGGTAGGGAACAAGGAGGTGTTCAGTACTTTTGTGGAGCATAAGTTTGAGGAGCTCGATAGAGACAGAGATGGTGAGCTCTCTGTGAAGGAGCTTCAGCCTGCTGTTGCCGATATTGGCGCTGCTCTTGGCTTGCCTGCACAGGGCTCTTCCCCTGACTCTGATCACATCTATTCTGAGGTACTTCAATTTCTTCTTCTTTTTTCACCTTATTTGGTATTTACTTTCACTACCCTTTTCATTTTTCTGCTTTTATTTTCTTCTTATTATTTACATATGTACACTCTTTATTAGAAAAATTAAAAAGAGGTGTTTCTCACACACAGGGAAACAACTAAGATGTCATGGGGTTGGAATCTGAGACCAAAATTAAGGCCCTTTTTCACTAGACCCCGTTGGCTTTTTTTTTTCAAATGTTGAAAAAGGGAGATTGTTGTGGCTTTGCTTTGTTTCGTCTATCTGAATATTGAGAATTTCTATTTCTAGCTCACTCCAGAAGCATCCAACCCATGGCCAAACTTTGTCGTTCTTATTTTGTGACTTCGCTTTTCATTTGGACCTTCTTCTATCATTTTTTATTATTTTTTTGGGTATGAAAAAGAACCCTTTTCTTTTTATCTTCTTATGCTAAGAGGAATCTGGTGACGAACTCTGTCGACACTTTTATATTATTCAAGAAGATTTAGTGTGACGAAAGCCATAATATGCCATAATATTCTATGATGGGACTGGTGCCTGCCCATTTTTCAAAAGGCAGTGGTTTTGTGGGGGAGGGGAAGAGAAGTCAAAAAACTTTCTTTAAGGGACTTGCTTCTGAACAAAGTAACAACCTTACCTAATCAGCTTAATAATGTGGCTGTAATTTATCTTAGCAAAAGTACATGATATGTTAGTTAAATAATGTCACATACTCACTTTTAACCGCATGATAATTGAGGAAATAGAATAATTGTAAAGTCAACATAGATGATGTTATATAGTGAAGAAGTTTTTCAACGGAGGAGATCTGATTGCAACTTAAGGTACGTCTGAGATTGGCCTAACTGATTAAGTTACTGTGTCAATGAAGCTGCAATGCTGCAGAAACATTTTAAGTATCTGATATGCTATCTTGGCATATACTGGCTTTAGTACAAATGGGACAACACTGATCAACTGCGGTAAGAACCCGATTAGCGGAGAATCCATATTAGCAAATATAGTAGATTGTGTAAACATGAGCTGAAACAGGGAAGCTAGTTAACTAGATCTCTTTTAACGGTAACTGTTATGTGCCAATTTGTTTAGAGGAACTATAAAGTCATTTTATCCACAGATTAATTCCTTTGTGTATGTGCGTAAACTTTGCACTGAAAAAAAATAAAGCATATGATTTGATGTGCTTAGGTGTTGAATGAGTTCACTCATGGAAAACAACAAAAAGTGAGCAAGACTGAGTTCAAAGAGGTTCTTTCAGATATTCTGTTAGGCATGGCTGCTGGTTTAAAGCGAGACCCTATTGTGATCCTCCGTATTGATGGAGAAGATCTCGAAGAATTCATCAATGGGCCAACTTTTGAACCAGAGATGGTAGCCTCGTATTCTGAGATAAAGTCAGCTGATGGAAGTGGAAGCCTCCGTGACTATATAGCCAAAGCTTTGGCGAAACTCACCGTTGAGCAAGGGATTCCCCCTTCATCGGATACTTGGGTAGTTGATCTTCTCCAATTTAACTTGTTTCAGTACTAACAATTCTATAATTTGATCTTGGGAATGAAAATTATGTTAAATTAACTTGCTGCAATTTAGATAAGTAGCCAAAGTATCGGCAACATTATATCATCCTACAAATTTACATGTTCTCACCACATTATTGTACGTTGTAGAATCTAGAAAAGTTGCATTGGGATCTTCATTCTTGACTACTTTTTCTTTCTTTTCCTTTTTGCTGGTTATTTTTGTTCTTTAGGTTATTAGCAATATCGTGGAACCTGCACTGCAATCATGCACTGGCCATGATTTGGACAAGCCTGTATCTCAAGAAACTTTCATAGAGGAGTTTAAGAAAGTGGCAGAAACCGTGGCTCAACACCTTAAGGAGCAGCCTGTGATTGTAGCCCACAGTGAAAATGACTTTGATGGAAGTGGCATTAAGAGACTGTTGTCCAACAAGTTTGAATTAGACAAGGTTTGACTCATAAAGATGTCTTCTCATATTTTTTCACTGACCAGTTGCATATTTAAATCTTGTTGGAATGCCATACGTATTGAAATCGCTTATTTCAATCTATTGTAAAATGCAGACACTGAATGCAGCTATTGAAAATGTGTCAAAAGATCGCAGTGGGAAACTGTCCAAGGAATATTTGCGTGTGGCGCTGGATGTAGTGGGTCCAACCGCTGGTCTGCCACCACTTGGTGCAGTTGAGCAGGTGCTCTGTTAATTAGCAAACCTATCTTTATATTTGATTATGAACTCAGACAACCTATTCCTTCAGTGCTTCCCAAGCTTGATCATTTTTTCCTTCAGCAAAGCTTAGTAACTTATGCCTGTCCAAATGACTAATGCAACATCTCCATGAATTTTTTACAATAA